GAAGGGGACACACAAGCAAAAAAGGACATTTTGTTATTGTATTCTTAAAATTAATAACTTTTATATAGTATTTTAAACTTTCCAAAGCATTTTACAAAGCCTGGAATGGACATTATGCTCCAGTTGAACTAGAATGTGATCCCTCATGATCATACTCAGAGCATAGTCTATAACCTTAAGTCTAAGCTCTGCTATTAGTAACATCTCTTCTAGGAAGCCTTCTTTGATTACTACTAGTCTTTTCCCTTGGACCCTCTTAGCATTTCTGTGCTATCTGAAAACAGTGCTTGTATTTTTGAAATAAATCATTTTGTAGCTTTCTTTACTCATTTCTGGAGTGCTGGGTTGCTTTTCTCAGCTACCATAAGTTGCTAGAAGGCAATGGCTAGGTTTTTTCTTTCTTGATTTTGTTTCACCTTGCCTTGTCCTAATCCATAATTTCATAGGTATTTTCCCACAAAGTACATTGTTCTGTATAATGCTTTGTAAATGGTGGGAGCTCACTAAACCCTGTTGATTAAAATGCTGGGCTTATCTTATAGAGCTATACCCAAATACATTTTTTTTTCTTTCTTATGCTCCAGAACAGCACAGCAGGGAACCAAATCTCCATGTTAGCACCAGAACAGATATTAGTAGGTCTACAGCCAGGTCAAAGAAAGGGTTCCAAATTTCCTGGGCCCCAGGATACATTTCATTAAAGGGCATGATTGGTTCCCTGGTTCTTTGGAATGTGTAGGAACAAAGAGAAACTAGACTTGGAAGTATGAGACATGGAGCTGAATCCAGGTTCTCACAATTTGGATAAATCATATAAACTCTATAGACCTCAGTTTCATCATCTATAAAATGGGAATAACTACACATTTTTCTGCTGGATTAAACAAGAAGTCCTGGAACTGAGGTAGTTGTTTATTAATTGAGTAATGGCTAAGCAAATTTTATATGTGGATGCAATGAAATATTATTTTGCCATATAAAAGAATGACTATAAAGATAGAGAAACATGATAAGACTTACATGTACTGGTGCAGAGATGTAGTAGAACCAAGAAAACAGTATAAATGCAACAATGTAAATGGAAAGCAGAAAAAGCAAAGCTGAACACTGTAACTACAATAACCAAGCCTCTCCTTACTCTTTATAACTATAATGACCAAGCTTGTTCCTGGAGAAGAGATGAGAAAATTCACTTCTCTCTCTTCTTTACAGAGGTGAGAGACCTTGAATTGTGGAACATGGCTTCTACTATCAGATTTTATTTATGTGTTAGGTAATTTTTCTGAACTGCTTTTCCCCCAATCTCCTTTTCTTATTCATTCTTACTAGAGATGACATACCAAATAGAGGAGGGAGAGGTGTCATGTAAAAACAAAAAAAAACCCCAATATATTTTTTAAAAATTGCTTTTCCTACCCACCTCACAGGGTTGTTATAAGACAGTCTCCTTTGTAAGCTATAAAGCATTAAATATGTGAGAGGAATAATTTCCATGAGTAGTTATTGTTTGGTTGTGTCCAACTCTTTGTGACCCCATTTGGGGTTTTCTTGGCAAAAATAGTAGAGTGGTTTGCCATTTCCTTCTCCAACTTATTTTACAGATGAGGAAACTGAGGCAGGCAAGCAGAGTTAAGAGACTTGCCCAGCATCACATAATTAATAAGTGTCTGAGGCTGGATTTGAACTCAGATCCTCCTGACTCCAGGCCTAGAGCTCTCTCCACTGTGGCATCTTGCTACCCAGTCATAATAGTAGCAAATATTTATATGAGGCTTTAAGATTTGTAAAGTGCTTTACTGTTTCTCACAAAACTGTGAAATATGTGTTATTATACCCATTTTATAGATGAGGAACTGTGACTGAGAGAGGTTAAGTGACTTGTCCAGGATCACACAGATCATTAGTGTCCGGGGAAGGATTCGAATTCAAGTCATCCTCACTCCAAGCCCAGTGGTCTATTCACTGGTTCCCTTCTGAGTGTAAGGGAATAGCAAGTAAGGTGATCTGTTGAACAGTCAATGCTATGAGAAGTCTTCTTTCACCTTCTCTAATCAAAAAGAGTAAGAGAAGGTCTCCTCTTTGACATTCTTAAAATACTATAAAGATTTACCTTCCTAGGACAGGTTTAATGAGGAAATTCACAGTATTTAGAGAAGGAATCCACAGCAATCTGTCAACAAACATTTATACTGTATGCTGTGCCAAAGAGACAGGTAGCAGCTTTATCATACCCACTCACCCACCCCCTGCTTCTACTACTATAAGGAAAAATGAGGGAACTTGCTATGTCTGCTTAAAACAAGACTCGTGACTCCTAACCTCTACTTGACACACCCACACACTGGTCTCATAAATGCTGTCTCTGACACTTAATAGTTATGTGACCACAAGAAAGTCAGTTTACCTCTCTGCCCCCCCCACCAGGATCTTCATCTGAAAAATGCATGTTTTCCCTGCCTATCTCACAGGATTATTATGAAGAAAAAAACACTTTATAAACCTCTTAGTACTATATAAGTATGAACCATTACTCTATGGAGCCTCTGCTTTTGCATAGTAATACATTATGATGGAAGCTGTGATGCAAGACCCACTCTCTTAACCCCTGGTAATTCCCATCTACAACAAAAATATCCTACAAATATGAGTTACTATTATTATTGCTATAGCTAAGTAACTTTCACCTGTAAATGTGCTTAGAAATGCCTCAGCTTTTTTGACTGGATCAAGTGAGGATCCAGGGGTTCCTTAAACTATTATTTTGTTCTTATGAGGGTGAAGAGATACTCTCATGGAACTTGGAGAATAAATTTGTTTCAGAGTTAGTAATTTTCTCCTTCTACAGATGCCTTGGCCCCTATGGCCCCCTCCTCTGATTGGTGAATCCCTGGCAGGAATTGCTATTTCATGAAGGCCATTATTCAAGCTCACATTGCTTCTATCTCCACTCCTGACTTCTATAGATACACAATAAGTTCATCCTTCTTCCTCCTTCCCCCTTTCCAGCTCCCTTTTTGATGTTGTCTTATCCCATCAGACTGTAAGCTCCTTAAGGGTAGAGAGTGTATTTTTTTGGCCCGTACTTGGATTCCTAATACTTAGCACAGTGCCTATCACATAGAAAGTGCTTAATTAATACTCTATTATCTATCATCAATATATTTTGCAAATCTTAAAACATGATATAAATACCAACTCCTATTATTACTTGTAGTTATTAACATCAATAATTAATATCACAGCTACTATGATTTTAAGTCTCAGCAGAATATACCTTAAGAAAAACCTTTCTTTTAGAGGACTTTGGTCACTTGCCTCATCCTTTAGCCCTTATAGTCATATCATCCTCCTCTGTATTCCTGCCTCAGAAACTATGTTAGAAGGGAGACCACATTAATCAGTTCAACTACAAGCATTTATTATCTTGTTTTTATTTTTTTATTATTATTAGCTTGCCTACTGTGCAACATTGTGGGGAATGCCAAACAAATATAGCCCCTGTCCCCAAGGAGCTTATGTTCTACTGTAAGCTTAGAGTCTATATTATAACAAGGGCCTCTGGCAATGAGACACCCTCGTATAGGGTCCAAAACAGTTATATTATACCATGTTTGGTGGTGGTTAGGGTTTTTTTAAATTCTGAAACCACATTTATTGTGGCTGACAATATAATTGCAGAGAGCCCCTTTTCAAGGGCTCTATCCCTACCCCAGGCTTTAACCACAATTTCTTTTTTAGTTAATGCAGGGCATCTCCTCTTGGTGTGTTACTGTTTGCCAAAAAGGACCTGGTTGAGAGAAGATGCAGCCACTGAACAGAGTTGAGGCAGTATGCATAACAGTTGACCTTAGCTGGAGTAATTCTGGATACATCATACAATAACTGAACATCCTAGAATCATAGAATAGTGTTGAAAGGGCCATAGAGATCATCCAATCCAAATTGGTCCATTTCCCTGGCAAGAAACCGAGATCCAGAGAAGTCATCACTACCTCAGACTGGGTAACTTCCACAATCTAGTGTTATCTTGCCTTTCAGGGTTCCTTGCCTCTGCATACTCTAGAAACCAGAAAAATTGCACTACCCATGAGCGATGCCCTGTGCATTCCTGCCTCTCTTCCTTTGCTAAAAGGTTGCCCTTGCCTGTAATGTCCACCCCCATCCCTCCCCAGCTATCAAAGTCTTTCTTACCCTTTAAAGTTCATCTCAAAATATCACATCCTCTGAGAAGCCTTACCTGATTTCCCCAGTTGGTAATGACCTCCTCTATCACTTAAATCACTTTGACTTCTAAGAGCTCATCGTGTTAGGGACTAGAGATTATTATAATAAGTGCACTTAATTTTTAATTTATTTAAAGGATATTAAATGTCTGCTGTGTACAGAGTCTGGGTACTAGTCTCTGGGTGAGACACAAAAACAGGGTTTTGCCTGATCTAAGCTTCAGTTTCCTCATCTATAAAATGGTGATAATAAGATAAGCCCTGCCCACTGCAAAATTAGTGTGACAAGTAAAATGATGTGCTTTGAAAACTGTCAAGTATTATACACAGTTTAGTTATTATTACTCCTGTTACCATAGGTCTGCAATTTAATTGGATTTGTCCAGGAAAATCAAGCTACAAGAAGAAGCTCCATAATAAAATAATCAGGCTTTTTTACCTTTTCCTATTCCTCCTCTTTCTCTGCCCCCTTCCCCAAACTGCCAGGCTGTTATCTCCCTTTAGATCCCTGTGTGGGATGTGACTAAGTTTCAAAATAAGGGAGGGGGGAACTACCTTTAAAGGAATGGGCTTGGTGGGGGAAAGATGGAGGAAATTGGGGGTGGAGATGGGCAGAGGAACAAGGGAGAAGTGGATGTAACTGTGGAATGTAGCTAATATCACAGCTGCTGTCACCAAGGTGGTGGGGGTGGCTTTCCTCTCCTCCTCCTCCTCTTCTTCGCTTCCTTCTCCTCCCCCCTCCCCTCTAAGTCCCAGGCAGCAGCAGCGGTCCAACCACCACCAAAGAAGCTGCCGGCTGTATAAGCAGCACTCTTTGTCTCCTGATCCTGGACAATCCCCACTCCCCCTCCCTCCTTCGGTGATATCCTGCAGATGTAAGTCTCATTTACCCTGGGCTAGGGTTTGAGGACTGTATGGGAAGTAGGGGCAGGACACAGGCACTTTAAATTGGACCCCAGCCCCCATCCATCTGCTGCTCCATCTTGTCCCCCAAGCCCTACAAGTGGGTCTATGGGTGTGTGTGTGTGTGCGTGTGCGTGTGTACGTGGGGCTATGTGCAAGAGGTGGGGGGGGGTATTGTGCTATCTGCTTCCCTACCCTGGTGGGTCTTTCAGCACCTGCACCTTCCCTCACCCCCAAGGCATTCTTCTTTCCACACCGCTCCCTCAAGTACTTCCTTCCCAGGCTCCAGTACTGTGGTGTCCTGCCTGCCCGTTGGGGATAGGGGGCTTTCAGCTCATCCCTGCTGAAATTTGTCAAGGCTTGGGAGGGGGGTGTTCTGTGGGTAAAGCCCAGAAGGAACAGAGGCTCACACTGCAGCATTTTTGCTGGTTGACGTATGGCTTGAATGCAGGTCTGTGTATTTCTCTAGGCAGAGGCAATGGCATAAGGAAATTGTATGAACGGAAAACAGTCAGAAAATGGGAAATCCTTAAAGACTTAGTTCACGGGAGGGAGAGAGAGCCTGTAGAATTAAAATAAGCAGCAGACAATGTTTGCATCCTACTTCTCCCATTTTATTCTCCTCTCTCCCTTCATTTTTTCCCCCTATCCATCTCCAACTTTTAAAATGGGTTTATTATTTGGAAAATAGTTTGAAAAGCACCAAAGAGCTCTTAAGTGTAAGCGCACGGAGGCCCCAGAAAGTTAACTGGGCACAAGGTCGCATTTAGCCTAGGTTATTAGAGATGCCCAGGAGAATAGATGGCTCGGGATTTGTTTGCAAATTACAATGCCTCCGTTTGTCCATCTGTAAAAGAAGACCAACAAAATCTTCTAGCTCTACAACTTAGAAAGATGGTGAGGCAAAGTTAGAGTAGAAACTTGCGGTGGATCGTGCATCGCGGTGAATCGCGGTGCAGCAGCGCATCATAGTCGAAGGATGACCTGAGTTTAAGTTTCAAAATTTGAGTTGAAGTCCCATGTCAGGTACGTTCTAGCTGCACTGTAGGAAGACCATGTGTTGACCTGCATTGGTACTGAGAGATCTGTATATCTAAGAAATCACAGATCCAATTTATGTCGCTCGCATATATAAAGATTATTATGATCCTTACCTAGCTTCCTTCGGAAGTATTGCTGCAAGACCACGCGCTTCCCTTTTGGTAAACTGAGAAACGTATATTAAAGTGAATTATGACAGTTTCATGTCCCAGGGGAAAGTCATTTAGAAAGAGTAATGTGATAGGAAGGGAGAGAGAGACTTGGCCTCCACACCACGATGGACTTCTATCCTGCCGCTGTATATCCACTATGTTAGCCACCATGGAGAAAGCGCGACATTTTTAAAGAGGAGAAGAATGTGTTTTAAGCACCTTTGTGCCAGTGGCTGTGCTCAATAACGCGCTTTACAAATCTTATCTCTTTTGATATCTATACTTGCCTAACGTTCCTAAGAAGAAATAACAAATTTGTGGTGAAATACAGGCAGAACTGTATAGCGGAAAGAATTCTGCATTTGAAGTCAGAGGGCTTACCTTCAAAACAAGCTCTGCCACTTAGTATCCATATGATCTTGGGTGCGTCCCTTAATCTTTTTCTCAATTTTTCCATCTGGATTAAGTCATGGGACTATAGATACAAAGCTAGAAGAGATCATAAAGGGTCCTAAAGGACCCTTATTTTACAGATGAGAAAACTGAGGCCCAGATACGGAAAGAAACTTTCTCAAGGAGGCACGGAGTAGTAAGTAGCAAATCAAAATTTAAACCTAGGTCTTCCATCTTCAGGGCAAATGCTCTTTTCACTGCGCTATGCTAACCTCCCGAGGTCCTTTCCAGCTCTGAATCTGTGATCCTATAAGCAAAACCAGACCAATTATTATGCAGTTAACACAAATGAAAGTGTTTTACCATATATACTCTGGAACTTCACAAGTAAGAAATATAAAATTTACTAACATTTATTTAGCATCTAATTCAATGCAGCGTGCTTCACTATCAGTGCAAGTTTTATCACGTTCACTTAACAGATGAGGAAAACGAGGGTTTATCCAGAGTCACAAAGTTAGTAATTATTAGAGGTAGGATCCAAACCCAGGTCTTTGGAATCAGAGTGCCCTTTGGGGGGAGGGGTGCAACAGGCACTTAGCTGCCTATTGGAATGCATCTGATAACAACTAGACCTTCAACACCAGCCAGAAACTGATAATAATAAGAAAAAAATCTGTTTCCCAGGTGTGAACTCTGGCTATGGTAGCAGGACCCATGAAGTTACTGGGCAGAGTCCATCAGTGATGGGTGAGTGTTATGTTTATGTGAAATGGCAGGACGGTTTTTTTTTTAATTGAGGAATTCCTGGGGGGGGGGGACAGCTGGTTCTCAGCTATCGAAATAATCCTTACCACAAGTCTGATTCTTCAAGCAATGCCCATGAGGAAAATAACTGTAATGAAGTTATTTTTCATTCCTTTTTACTCTGAAGTCAACCTGTCATTTTGTGGGAAGTTGGTAAGCTGAAACGTAAGAAAGAAAGGAATTAAAATGGATGTCTAATACTATGGGAATCATAGCCTGTGTATTCTTCTTAGACTTTTCTGCAGCCCTGACTCCACTGCAAGTGGAATAATCAGGGCTATTGGTGATGAGATTAGTCATGTAGCTTTTACTCTTTAGTGATTAGTCCTGAATTGTTTTTTGATGTAGAAGTATAAAAATCCTAACTCCTTTAGCACACCCAGTTAGAATGCTGCCATTTATCACTCTAGTCTCATGATTGGATTTATCTTCTTAAATGCTTTTTCTTCAATGGCAGGCAAGATTAGAGACCTAGAGTTGGAAGGCATCTTGGAGGCCATCTAATCCAACCTTCACCTTGCACATGAGGAAACTAAAGCCCAGCAAGATTAAATGACTTGCCCCAGGTCATAGATTAATCATTGGAGGCAGAATTTGAACCCATGTCCTCTGACTCTAGAGTCAATACTCTTTCCTCTGTACTATACTCCATCTCATTTAAGAGTGATCTCTGCTTCTGGCCAATGGATGTGGTATGGGTAACCGAGGATCTATCTGAACTTTTCTAGGTCCTTCTACTGACTTTTTCAGTTATAACAATGGCATATGATAAGACTACAAAGCTACTACTATTTTCACTAATTCATACTGCCTTAATCTTTGAAGTGGAGAAGTTTAGCTCTCATTCTAACTACTATCTCCAGCATCATCTCAAACTTCTATAGGGAGAGTCAGAGTAGAAGAGCGAGGGGGCAAGGGTATGTGTGATAATACTTATGTGACTATGTGCCTCTCTCATGTGTGCATGCATACTTCTATGAGCTATAATATGTACATACAAAAGGCAAAAGAAGGAGTCTAGCCTAGGTTTGAGCTTCAAGTCACATCGAGGTGGCTTATTTGTTAGCTTAAGATCCAAAGGATTTAATTACAGGTGTCAGCAGCATAAAAATATTAACTGGATCTAGGTCCCTATTGTGAAGAACAAAAGTAAGAAATGTAAACAACCTCAAGGGGAAATTTTCATTTACTGACAGTTACTAATGGTCTTGGAGTCAGAAAGCCTCTTACTTAAAAAGCAATAAAGACTGACAATAGAAGATTAAACAAAACTTTAAAATCACAAACTTGCTAATTGTTCTTAGCAAAGTTGGCCTTTAACCAAGACAAACTCAAGTAGAATATAACCAGGAAAAGCCCAGGGTCAACCTAATCAACTAAAAAAAGTTAAGCAGTGCTTATATTAAAATGCCTATAGACTTTGAGACTGTGTGCAGTTGAAAGAATGCCAGGCTTTGACATGCATACTTCCCTTGTAGTCTGCATGGACAGGTTTTGTCTGACAAAGGTTCTTTGTCATAAAAAAAGCTTTTTAAAATCTGGGGGGGGGGGGTGTATTCTGGCGTTTCTCTCCTTCCAGAGTTGTATCTCCTCTCTTTTTCCTCTTCAGGTAATATCTTATCATCTATTTATTAACCATAAGCTATGGCTATAATTACCCAGCCACTGTGCAGAATAAAGTTACCCCCTATTTGTGTTAAATTACTTCATCATTTAGGATGGAAGAAGCTAGCTCTCTGCATGAATATGGTCTATTAGATTATAGTTCTCTTTTGCCTTATGTTATTGATAAACATGATAGACTGTGATATTGATAAATATGATAAACAAAAGAACCTAAGTTCAGATTTTATTTTGCATGGGTACATTTCTATATCCTACACATCCTTACACCAGGCAGCTCCTTCAAGAGAGCTTAGAATTTATATACAGTTCATGCTCTGGGGAGCACTGATGTACCTGCAAGAGAATCCAGTGTTCATTCAATACATGTTTCTTAAATTATATAACATTGTGTTAGAGACTAGAGAAGAATCAAAATTTAGATGATACCTAGCCCCTACCCTCATGGAACTTATAGTCTAGTAGAGAGTTAAAACACAAACTCAAGTTACCATAACACACATGATGGATGTGCTAGAGAGGTGGAATTCAAAGTGCTATGTGAGGTCCATGGGGGAAAGTTGCTATTGGCAGAGGGATTCAGGGAAAGCTACATTAGAGTCAAATATTCAGTGGGCAAAAATGAGGTAGAAGGACATTCTAGATATAGGCAGTGACATGTACAAAAACATGGAAAAGCTGTCAATCCATCAATCAAAGCACAATAGGCATTTAAGTGCAAACAACATGAGATGCTTTAAGATAGGCTAGAAGAATACAGATGCAAAAGCTGTAGACAGATGCTGCCCTCAAAGAACTCCCATTCTACTACCAGGATATAGCATACACACAAATATCTGCCTACAGAGTATATTTTACAAAATAAATACACAGTAAAATGTGTGTGGAGGAGGTATACCAATAGCTATGGAAATCAAGAAAGGTTTCTTGAGCCAAGGCTGAAGAGGCAAGGATAGGGATAAGACAGATAGGATAAAGGCTTGGAGACAGGAGATGGGGGGTATATAGGAAATAGTAAGTTAAGTAGTTTGGCTAGAATATAGAGTGCTTGAGGGGGAGTACTGTGGAATCAGCCTGGAAAGAGGCTAGAGCCAAACTGCAAAGCCAGTGTGAGAGCCAGATTCTTTTAATTGCCAAAGACAGGGAGGGGTTTTTGTGATTGTTTGTTTGTTTGTTTGTTTGTTTTTTTAAGGAAGTAGGGAGCCAGTGAGTGGTCATTGGGTAGACTGGGATAGTTTGGTAGATACACAGAATACATATAAGACAGTAATATTAAGTAATATTATAAACATAGGGCAACACTAGGTTGTGTAGGGGTTTCAGAGCTAGGTAAGAGAGCTCAAACTTGGTAGACAGTAGGGAGTTGCTGGAGATTTTTAAGGTGAGAAGTGACAAGACTAAATCTATGTGCAATAGAGATATTTTTGGCATTGGTATGAAGGACAGAGGGCAGGGGCAGAGACAAGAATCAAGAAGAACTGTTAGGAAGTTATTGAAATAATGAGGGTCTTCACCAGGATGGCAATGGTAGAAGTAGAGTGAAGAGGAAGTTTAGTTCACTGAAAGAGTGATTAAAGTGAGTTGGGAGGATGGGGGTGAGAGCATGGCTTCCTGCTTCCAGAAAAGCCATTGGCAGAGCCACCTATCAATACACCAGAGACCTCCAGGCTAGATTGGGGGCTAGTTTGACTCTACAATATCTAGTCAAATAATCAATAATAATAATAGCTCACCTTTATATAGTATTTTAGAGTTCATACTTTTTTTAAAAAAATCATTTATTTGTTTATTTTTCATTTTCAACATTCACTTTTATAAGATTTTGAGTTCTAAATTTTCCCCCTCCCTCCCCAGGACAGCATGGAATCTGATATAGGCTATACATGTACAATCATATAAAACATATTTCCACATTAGTCATGTTGTAAAGAAGAATCAGAACCAAAGGGAAAAGCCACAAGAAAGAAAAAAAGAGAGGAAGTAGTATGCTTCAATCTACATTCAGACTGCGTAGTTCTTTCTCTGGATGTGGATAGCATTTTCCATCATGAGTCTTTTGGAATTGTCTTAGATCATTGTATTGCTGGGAAGGCCTAAGTCTATCAAAGTTGGTCATCAAACAATGTTGCCATTACTGTATACAGCCCTTTTTCTTACAACAGCCCACTGGGGTAAGTAATATAAACAGACATTTAAGAATTTTTCCACCTGGGGTAAATTTAGCGAGTCAGAGAATTATACAACAGATACCAACCAGACCCACTCTGGCAGAGGGTGTCACGGTATTTCTCAAAATTTCATGTTATTTAGTTCCCAATCAAACTTTGTAAAGACAATGGTGAGCACTAATAGGACCATATATAAAATCTCCAGTTTATGAAAAGCCTACCTCTCAAAGAGAGTACCTTGCTGGGGCAGGCTGCCCTCTGTTCCACTTTCCCTGCTTCTCCCCACTCCCATAACTGAATTCATGCCCTGAGTATGAGAATGAGGGGGTGTAGTAGGAGGAGGAAAGTAGACCTTGGAAGTAGCAGCCTCCAGTTGTGCAAGGGAATAAAGATAGAGATGGAGCCCACTGCCAAGATATTGGTGCACAGGAGCAAAACTCCAGTTGCTCTGAATGAAGTGTTACTACCCACTTTTTTCAACTCTGGAAACTGAGACTCAGAGGAGGTAGTTACTTGCCCAAGGTCACATAGCTAGTAAGTGTCAAAGCCTGGATTCAAAGTTAGGTGGTAGAGTGGACAAGGCACTGGGCCTCAGTCAGGAAGTTTTACTTCTTCTCAGAGACTTTGCAGGAGAGCTGCTAGGTGGTTCTGATAGGGTGCTTGGGTGCTTGTGTTTGGGTGCTTGTACTTGGACCCCAATTTCTCCCTAGTCTCAGAAACACTGTCTCTGACAATCACTCCCCAGCCCAAGGACACTGTGCCTAACAACTTGCCTAGCAAGACCCTTAGCTCTCTTCCTAGTCCAGCTGGGTGAGAAAGTGTTGGGCTACTCAGGCCCTAGCCCTCAGATCATGTCTCTGGAAGCCTCCCAATTCCTTAGTAAGTTCCTGTCTTGTGAGAAAGCTTGTTGCAGAACATTCTCTCATCAAGACAGGGGGAGAGGAATGCCTTGCCCAATCCAAGGAGTTTTGTCCTTGGCCAGCCCAAGGACTCTTCCTGCTCCCAGACTCCAAGATCCATACCTCTGTCATCTCCCTCCCTGACTGGTATATTCCCTGTACTTTCCCATCCATAGCTCCCAAAGACATCTGGGTCTTTGGATTACCTAATCAGTATCCCTGGCATTCCTTTCCCATGCCCTTTTCCATATAA